CCCATTCTAACCACGCATGCGCTGCTCCCGGAGCGCGGCGATCGGCGGTGCTCTGTGTCCCTCGGACAAAGCGGATCACCGATCCACGGAAAGAGCCGAAGATGTTGGCTCGGTCATGTGATCAGCTATGTCCAATCACAGCTGATCCCATGTAAACAGGGAAATGCCGGTTATCGGCATTTCTATCCTCACGAGCTGTCACGCTGATAGCTTGTGAGGAGAGGAGAGCCGGTAATTGGCATTCCTCGGAGGGGACATGTACACTGATCATCAGAGCACTGATGATCAGTGTGCCCTGATGATCTGTGTAGCCCCAGCAGCGCCACCTGTCAATGTCCATCAGTGCTCACCCATGCCACCCGCCGGTGCCCATCAGTGCCACATTTCAGTGCCCATCAAGGCCAGTCAGTACCGCCTATCAGTGCCAGTCAGTGCTGCCTATCAGTGTGCATCAGTGCCGCCTATCAGTGCCAGTCAGTGCCGCCTATGAGTGCCATATTTGAGTGCTGCCTTTCAGTGCCCATTTTCTGTGGTTTTTCGTTTGTTTAGGAAAAAATAAAAAACCCAGAGGTGATTAAATACCACCAAAATAAAGCTCTATCTGCCACAAAAAAATGATAAAAATTTCATATGGGTACAGTGTTGCATGACGGCGCAATTATCATTCAAAGTGCAACAGCGCTGAAAGCTGGAAATTGTCCTGGGCAGGAAGGGGGTAGAAGTGCCCGGTAGGCGAGGGGTTAAATATAGCAAGAATGGCTCATCTAACTGGGCAGTCTTCATGTGGGAGAGTTCACTGATGAAGGGGATCTTGGACTCCCAAAATGTGTCGGCTTTCTCTTCCAACCTTTCTTTCTCATGTGACAAACACTTACTAGATGTGTGGACTTGTTATCCCAATGTTTTGATGGCAAAATGGAAAGGCAGAGGAGCCTGGGGAAGAGAATTAAAGCCAGCTTAGGATTCCTCCAAAAATGAAAACCTGTAACTGGGCTTCCGTATAATCCAAGTACAATGTACAGGATTTCTTCCATTTCTTTTCACTTCGTGTGAATAGTGAGATAAAACTGGCTCCTGTGCTTTGTTTGTTGGTTGCTTTTAATCAAAATTGCCTTTCATAATTCCCTAAACACAAATCTGATTTCTGTTTATACAGATCTATAGGAAACCTTTTTATCGGCACATAATATTTGCTAAGTGTTGGCTTTCCAAGTTCAAGAGCTGCTCTAAGAAAAGTGATACTTCATACATGAAGGGACATGCTGCCCATTGTCTGCAAAGGAGAAAGCTTATCGCTTGACCTCCTTGGCGTTCACCAACGCTGCGCCATTCTAATCAGCATGAGATACCGGTTTATAGATCCAGCAGAATTTTATTTTTAAAGAACACCACCGGGAAAACAATTAACCCACACATTTGTTCCTTTTATGTGTTGTTCCAAAAGCCTTTTTCCTTTTTTTTTCCCCAGTGCATTTCATACAGTTATCTGATGTTTCTCTATACTGAGGTGCTACACATCCGATGAAACATAATTTGAGACTTGCATCAGGACACCCTTCAGCATTCCTTTTTCATTTTTAGAATATGCATCTTTTTGGAGCGTTCTCCAGTGTGGACACATTACACCCCAAGGTCTTCTTCCTCTTGTGGCAGTGGAAAGTGGGTCCTTTATGACATTTAATACCATGGGTGCCATTCTTTGCATCAGTTTCCTATGACTCCAGGGTGGCTTGATGGCGCACCTCCAGGGGCTGGGTCCTTGAAACTCTTAACTTATAGTAAAGGCTTGTTCACACATGAGGTTGGAGAGCAGTAAAACCCCACAGTTGTGTTTTTAACGCCCTCCAACTGCTACCCCCTTTAGCTGAAAAGACAATGGATGGCGGGTGAACGTATGTCACAGCTGCAATGCTTTGCTTATGCCATATCCAGGAAATGAAGCTGGCACAATGGAATATATCAGCGGAGTGATGACATTTATTTTGTGCAGATTAACAGCCACAAGAACGTGTCAACGCGTTTCGGCCATTCCAACCTTATTCATGACTGAGTCATGAAGAAGGCCTGAAACTTATTGACATGTTTTGTAGCTGTATTCCTCTGCACTAAATAAATGTCATCACTCTGCTGATATCTACAGTCATGTCGGCGTCTTTTCCTGGATAAAATACTTGTGAGACCTCAGCAACCATCATGAATAAGGCCGGAACGGCCGAAACACGTTGACATGTTTTGGGGCTGTATTCCTCTGCACTAAATAAATGTCATCACTCTGCTGATATCTACAGTCATGTCGGCGTCTTTTCCTGGATAAAGTACTTGTGAGACCTCAACAACCATCATGAATAAGGCCGCAATGGCCAAAACATGTTGACATGTTTCGTAGCTGTATTCCTCAGCACCAAATAAATGTCATCACTCCGCTGATATCTGCAGTTGTCCCAGGGTCTTTTCCTGGAAAAAGTACTTTTGAGGTCAGGCCAGAACACCAGTTTTAGAGCCATGTTGGACTTCCAGAGCAGGTAGCAGCACTGCACTGTTGGTTTTGCTTTGGTTATATCCTCTGCTGCATTCGTCAGGCACACATGCAGTCATGATGCTTTGCTTTGTGGCAGTGGTAGGACCGATACCCTGGTCGCTTTCCATGGACGAAGCATTAGCTGAATGCGACCCTTTCAAGTGAATAGGGCCACTCTCCAATCGTCCCACAACTGCATGCAATGCATGTGGTTGCTGCGAACTACTGCGGAACTTTTTGGGCTACAGCAGGGGGCAAGGAGGCGAAACAGTGATTCCTTCATTGCCTGTCAAATGCTCTCTGAGAAGCGATCTAAACACAGATCACTCTTCAGGGTGTAAAGAACATGTGAACTTAGTGGGCTGAATGACACTGGGCATCACAGTGGCTAAATGGTTAGCACTTCCGCCTGGCAGTACTTGGGTCGTTGGTTCGAATCCCAACCACGGCACCACCTGCCTGGAGTTTGCATGTTCTCCTTGTGCCTACGTGGGTTTCCTCCGGGAGCAGTGGATCTGATGAAGCGTAGCCAGGTAGGCTTGCATTTTCAGTTATCATAGTGACAAAGCGGGAGAATCCTCTTTATGTGAACTGTACAGTGACTAAATGGTTAGCACTTCTGCCTGGCAGCTCTAGGGTTGTTGGTTTGAATCCCAACCACGGCACCACCTGCCTGGAGTTTACATGTTTTCCCTGTGCCCGTGTGGGTTTCCTCCCACCCTCCAAAGACATGCTGGTAGGTTAATTGGCTCCTGTCTAAATTGGTCCTAGTATGTGTATGTATGAAGGTGGGTTAGATGTTAGATTGTACACCCCTTGAGGGTCAGGGATGTGAATGTTAAGCCAGGGCTTGAAAAAGCCGCTCGCCAAATACGAGGAGAAATTCCTCTGTGCCGAGCGGCTGTAAGCGGTGAGCACAGAAGAAGCATGAAGTGACTGCCCCTGCACTCCAAGCCTCATTGTGAAGCCGAGTTCTGGTTTACAACTGCTGGTTTCCGACTTCTGCAGCATCGCTGCCGAGGAGACAGGTGCAGGAGAGGTCCGCTCTCCTCCGCTGAGAGGAGACACCCTCTCCACCGCCGCGGGGGACTTGGGGGGACAGTAAGTACTGTATACAACATGTCCTACCACTATAATGGAGTACAGGGGAGCTGGGATATACATTACTGTATACATGTCATATCACTATAATGGAGTACAGGGGAGGGGGATATACATTACTGTATACACGTCATATCACTATAATGGTGTACAGGGGAGGGGGATATACATTACTGTATACACGTCATATCACTATAATGGAGTACAGGGGAGGAGGGATATACATTACTGTATACATGTCATATCACTATAATGGAGTACAGGGGAGGGGGATATACATTACTGTATACATGTCCTATCACTATAATGGAGTACAGGGGAGGGGGATATACATTACTATATACACGTCATATCACTATAATGGAGTACAGGGGAGGGGGATATACATTACTATATACACGTCATATCACTATAATGGAGTACAGGGGAGGGGGGATATACATTACTGTATACACGTCATATCACTATAATGGGGTACAGGGGAGGGGGGATATACATTACTGTATACATGTCATATCACTATAATGGAGTACAGGGGAGGGGGATATACATTACTGTATACATGTCATATCACTATAATGGAGTACAGGGGAGGGGGATATACATTACTGTATACACGTCATATCACTATAATGGAGTACAGGGGAGGGGGGATATACATTACTGTATACACGTCATATCACTATAATGGGGTACAGGGGAGGGGGGATATACATTACTGTATACACGTCATATCACTATAATGGAGTACAGGGGAGGGGGGATATACATTACTGTATACACGTCATATCACTATAATGGAGTACAGGGGAGGGGGATATACATTACTATATACACGTCATATCACTATAATGGAGTACAGGGGAGGGGGATATACATTACTGTATACAGTTTTATATTTTGGACTATTCATTCTAAAGAAAAATGTAATTTTTAAGCTTTAAGGGGGCGTGGTTGGGCCCGGGGGTGGGGTTTGGGGGCGGACCTGGGTAAGGTTGGGTGGGGCAACTGGTGGAGAGTAAGTTTTGTGACCGGCTAGTAGGTCTGGACCCGAAATTTTAACCCGTGTTAAGCACTGTGTAAATTGACGGAGCTATATAAGTATCTGATATAAATAAAATTTAAAAGAATAAAACAAATTGAACCAGGAGAGGGCGGACAATAATATGAAGTGCAGTGCTGAGGCATGGAGAAAGTGGGGACTGTTTTTTTGTTTTGTTTTTTTTAAATAGGAGGAGAGGGATTTAAAGAAAAAAAAAAAAAAAAATAAAGAGTAGGGTTTAAACAATACTAAAACAAAAAAAAGTACTGAAAATATTGTGTCCCTTTAAATAATGTTATCATATTAGCCTTGGTGTATACAAGATCACTATATACTCACATTATACAGAGCCATGACTGCTGGTACTGAACCCCGGTCGCTGTGGCGGTGACCCCCTTGAATGGTATCCGAAAGGAGGTGAACTGCAGAAAGAAAACATACATTCATTTATATGGGTTTTCCTAGAATTAGTTTTATTACTCTGGCATTACTATTAATTTTTTCTGGCATAGCATAGGGACTGGCCCCCGCAGGACTACAGCAGGGAGATCGATATCGTTTCACTACTTTACCTTGCTTCTAGAATACGTAGCACACCGCTTTTCTGGAGCAACACCACGCACGCTCGTACCGTACACAGCAAGATGGGCTGAGGCTGAACCATGAATGCTGCATTGTACAACATCAACAGGACTTTATTATGTAAGATTTTTGGATGAGTTTCTATACAGTTATTTCCACTCCTCGTCCAGACCACAAGTTTATGCTCAGCTGCAGCTGGAAGAGGCCAAAACATCAACTCAGAGGAGAGAGATTGGAAATATCCCTCTTCATAGACGTGATGCCTGAAGTCTTCAGTGGCAGGGTGCTTGGGATCCCAAGACTTAAAGTGGAACTCCAACTACTCAACCTAAGGCAGCCTTTCCCACCTTTTTTTTTTTTTTTTTTTTACCCCAGAGGAACCCTTGAATTAACGTTATTTCAGGGAACCCTTGCTGATAAAATCATCAGGAGTCAAGATGAAAAATGCCCCCTACATTGGTGATCAGAGAAGAATGTCCCCTACAGGGGTGGTCAGAATGCCATGCATAGTGATCACTGGTGTCATTCTCCTGACTCTCCCAAGTGGAGATGGGACCAAGAATATGCAGACACCATCAGATAATCCACAGGTCCAGGAACACCCAACAACCTCTGGAGGAACCATATGGTCAAAAGGAACCCTGGTTGAGACTGGCTGACCCAAGGAGGAAAAAGCCTTCCAAGCCCTTTGAATATCTACATTAGGCGTGAGATACAATAGCAATGTCACAGGTGATAACTCCGTGTCACACCAGCAATTCTATTAGCGACATGAAAAATAAGCAACCCATTAATCTATCCCATAAAGTCCCTCTCTCGTTGGCCAGCAATGGGGCATCGCTCCTCACTAGAGAGTGAAATTCTGAACCGTTCCTGGCCAGTGAGAAAGCGTCACCCATTAAGGTTGCCTCACCAATGACAATGAATGTCTGACATTAGCCTGACAGCTGTCAAGACTCAACTTTTCTTCTCCTATGGTATCACTCAGTTTCTGCCCGAACCAGCAAAGTGTCTCTCTGTCGCTGCTCTCTTACTAGTGGTCGAGATTCTTTAGTATATTCGTCAGTAAAGGAGTAACTTCTATTGGGCAAAATGACAATTACATTTCAGTGATTCTGCCTCCAGGTAAAAATGTTAGAACCAAGACTATGCAGGCATCATCAGCTAAGAGGTCAATCAGCCACAGCTCAAGGAACCCTCAATAATCTCTGGAGGAAGCTTATGGCTCCAAGGAACCCTGGTTGAGACTGGCAGACCCAAGGAGGAAAAAGCCTTCCAAGCCCTTTGGATACCTACATAAAGGAATTCAACTCACAGCTGACAACTCGTAAGTGACAGAATCACTAATGCTGATGTCACACCAGCAATCCTCAGGGATCCCTTAATGTAAGAAGAAAAAAAAAAAAATATATATATATATATATAATATAATATAATATATCGGGGTCAATATAGGAAGATTGACCCCGACACCGGTGATTGGTGGTCAGAATGTCGCCACCCTTGCAGACAGCTAAAATGATCACTGGTGTCATTCTGCTGGCTCTCCCAAGGATGGTGGAACCAGAAGTATACAGGCATCATCAGAGAGGTCAATAAGCCACGGCTTCAAGAGACCCTCAAACACCTCTGGAGATGTATCGGCAAAATGGCCAGGGAGACATTACACTTCAGCTGGCTATAGACAGTTTGAATCTTGGCCAGTTCAGCAAGGACCAGCCGAAATTCAAACCATGTATGGACAGACTGAATGTACCCATGTTGATCAAGCGATCAACTTGGGTACAACTCCTCCTGGATTGTAAGTTCTAATGAGCCGGCCCTCTGTTTCTTCTTGGAACAAATTGTATTGTAACTGTAATGTCTACCTGTTGGCGCGATATAAATCCTGTATAATAATAATAACAATAATAATAATAACAACCAGCGGGTTGTATTTTACATGTGATTATTGGATAGTGGCTATTATAGCTGCTAGCAGTAATCACTGTGTTTATGGGGGAATCAAGTGATTTTCAATTTTCAGGTTTCAGGAAAGAAAATTTCTCCATCTTTGACTGGCTTTAGACCCCTTTCATGTGGGCATTCCGATCAGGTCTGCTTTTCAGGCGAAACTGATTGGACGGTCCAGTCATCCCTATGGACAGATGGGTGTAAACGGATTTGTGTCTTAACTCCTGCCTACCTCCAGGTCCGATCTGGTAGACAAAAAAAAAGCAAGAAGACTGAATCCTATGCGATGTTTGCAGAGTGGATCAGAGGCAGCTGGATGTAAATGGACAGCGGAGTCTGTCTACACCCAGCTGTCCTCAGAGATCAGCGGGGTCTGACAGTATACACGGATGTGACATCCACCTGCTCTGCTCCGATCAACAGGGGATCTGTGAGCAGATACCCTGCTGATCGGAGCCAATGCCGCTCCATGTGAAAAGAGTCCAAAGTAATTATAATTAAAAATGCCTTCCTCTGGATCAACTGTGGGTATAAGATTAGAACTTTTAAATTTTTTTTATGGTTGAACTGGATGGACTTTTCTATTTTTTCAGCCAGGTTATGTAACTACAGTATTTTTCACTCTATAAGATGCACCTGACCATAAGACGCGCCTAGGTTTTAAAGAAGGAAAAAAAAAAAATAAAAAAAATATTCTGAACCAATGGACTGCAGACTGTACAGGGGATAACCCAGAGATTGCAGACACAGTACAGGGGATGACCAGAGACTGCAGACAGTACAGGGGATGACCAGAGACTGCAGACAGTACAGGGGATGACCAGAGACTGTGAACCTTTGGGGAGGGAGGGGGGAGTGGGTACCTGAATTTGACAGGTACCCGCTCCCACATTCACGGAGTTGTCATCTCTTTAGTGTGGGCACCCGGCTGTGACAGCCAGGTGCCCACTGCGCATGTGTGAGAAGCGCTGTGCTTTGTGAATGGTCCAGTGTCTTCTGGGACCTGTCATGTGTCCCAGAAGACGCCGGACCATTCACAAAGCGCAGCACATCTCGCGCATGCGCAGTGGGCACCTGGCTGTCACAGCCGGGTGCCCACACTAAAGATGCCAACGACGGAAGACTGTACAGTGCTGAACCGAGGAACAGGTAAGTTTCTGCTGCACAGAAGAGCCGAGCGGCCAGCCCGGTATTCTGACACGGCAGAGGTGGTGGGAATACCGTACCGGCCGCTCCATAAGACGCACTGACATTTCCCCCCCTTTTTTTGGGGGGAAAAAAAAAAGTGTGTGTCTTATGGAGCAAAAAATATATGTTAAAAAAAAAAAAAAAAAAAAAAAAAAAAATCAGCAACAACCTCTTACACCTATATGTCTTAAAAGGAAGGAAATAAAAAAAGCACATAAAAAGGAGGAGAGTTCCCCTTAAACAGTACTCAGAGTATTATGAGCTATAAGAAAACATCGGCCTCCGATATCTAGAATAGCCGCCTCGCTCATCTCCGCTCTTCTTCTCCCAGGAGCCTCTACAGCAAACAGACTCTCGCTTACACTGCCAGAGCGGTTATTTTTATTTCTGCCAGGGTATATTTAAAAAGACGATAATGACTATAGGCTTTGCCAACGTCAAACCGTACAAACACAGAGAGAGCAGACGCTACACGAGGGTTACTGGGCCAGGAACCACGGTCAGCACAAAATAAAACGGCACTTGTGTAGTAAGCAGTATGGGCTCCGTATAATAACAGCTTCGCCATGGACAAAGACCCCTCGGGGATCCAGAGGCTGCAGCTCCATTTATTCAGCCAATACGGCAATGCTTAAAGGAACACTCCATGTTTCCAACCTCATTTCATGATATGCCCATGTACAGGGTTTCAACGTGATACATGGTCACATTCCCTAAATCCCCAACCTCAACCCCCCAGTTACCATGAATCATGGGGTATGGTTTTGTTGGGAAGACTACAAGTCCCATCTGCAACCATGGTAGGGAAGACTACAAGTCTCATCTGCCACCATGGTAAGTCTCATCTGCTACCATGGTAGGGAAGACTACAAGTCTCATCTGCCACCATGGTAGGGAAGACTACAAGTCTCATCTGCCACCATGGTAGGGAAGACTACAAGTCTCATCTGCCACCATGGTAGGGAAGACTACAAGTCTCATCTGCCACCATGGTGGGGAAGACTACAAGCCTCATCTGCCACCATGTTAGGGAAGACTACAAGCCTCAACTGCCACCATGATAGGAAAGACTACAAGTCTCATCTGCCACCATGGTAGAGGGATTCACAGATTGCCAAGGAGCAGTGCAGTGATGTCTTCCCACCTGTAGCCCATTGCTTATCTCCTCCAGCTGAAGGTCCATACCTCTGTACAGACCTGGGACTGGGGGTTCACAATGCAGGAGCCTGTCCACTAAACCACGACGCACTGATTGCTATGAATTCCAAACATTTTTAATTTTTTTTTTTTTTTGCAAAAAGGTGGACTATGCCTTTAACCTCCCTAGCGGTCTGATTATGTCCATATTTCTGTGCTCAAAGCGGTACATTGTTTTGCATGGAAATATGTATTATTTTTTATTGTAGGCCTGTAATTCTTAGGAATAACTCACTGAAATCTGTCCAAACAAGAGTCTAGTAAACATCCCGGGTATGATAAAATTTGAAAAACGAAATCATAAATTATAATTTCATAATCATAAAAAATAATAATAATTTTAATTCAATAATATAATCAAACCAAAAACACTGAAATTTGAAATATAGCGCCAAGTTCGCACATCGCTGAGCAGAATCGTTTTCTGTGTCTGATGATGAATTTCCCCCACGAATCATTATCACTCAATTCTGCAAGTGGTTCTGATTTATTATCGCTGTTCTCTAGCCGGTCTAAAACCACTTTTGACCTAAAGGGACGCTTTTTGGACGCCATGGACGTTTCTCAGTTTCCAGGCAGAAAGAACAGTAAAAATGCAGGCAGGGTGCAGGACAAAGCACTCGGGACAAAATGTATGTGAAATGGGTTGATACAGGAATGTTATATTATGTGATTTTAGTGTATTTAGTGAATGTCACTTTTTGACATTTTTAAATTTCCCGCCGGTTCTGTCCCCCGTACGTCCCGACGTCGCAGGGAACAGAACCCAGGAGACAGAAGACAGATGCCGGCATCCGCCGGAGGACATTGCCGGGGACACTGCAGGAGGGACATCGCGGGAGCGCAGGACAAGGTATGTGAAGAAGAGATCCCGGAGTAATGCTGCAGTGTACTCCCGAGTGTAGTTCGGGGTTACCACTTGTGGTGCTGAAACTTTACCCCGAGCTACACTCGGGAATACCGCCAGGGGGGTTAAAGAGGAACTGCACTGCATCTGAGCACCACAAACCAACAGTACCATTTAATTCATTTTTAATATTCAAGGCAAATTCCCCCATCCTTGTCTCCATGCTTTAATTTGCTGAAAAATCCCTTAAACATCTGCTAGCACAGGGGTCTCCAAACGTTATATACAAAGGGCCAGTTTACAGTACTGCAGACTTTAGGGGGCCGAACTGTGGACATCAGGAATAGAAAATGTCCCAGTGTCCGTAAACACTGCCCCATTTTTGGTGCTAATGAGAGGAACTGTGCCCCATCGTTGTGTCACTGGGGAATCGTAACGCCTTATTGGTGTCATTGAGAGGAAATGTGCCCCATCATTGGTGTTATTGGGCCCAATTGTTGGTGTCATTGGGAGGAACTGGGCCCAATTGTTGGTGTCATTGGGAGGAACTGGGCCCAATTGTTGGTGTCACTGGGAGGAATTGCGCCCCTTCAATGGCGTCATCGGGGGGAACTGCGCCCCATCGTCGGCGTCATCGGGGGGAACTGCGCCCCATCGTCGGCGTCATCGGGGGGAACTGCGCCCCATCGTCGGCGTCATCGGGGGGAACTGCGCCCCATCGTCGGCGTCATCGGGGGGAACTGCGCCCCATCGTCGGCGTCATCGGGGGGAACTGCGCCCCATCGTCGGCGTCATCGGGGGGAACTGCGCCCCATCGTCGGCGTCATCGGGGGGAACTGCGCCCCATCGTCGGCGTCATCGGGGGGAACTGCGCCCCATCGTCGGCGTCATCGGGGGGAACTGCGCCCCATCGTCGGCGTCATCGGGGGGAACTGCGCCCCATCGTTGGCGTCATCGGGGGGAACTGCGCCCCATCGTTGGGAGGAACTGTGCCCCATCGTTGGGAGGAACTGTGCCCCATCATTGGGAGGAACTGTGCCCCATCATTGGGAGGAACTGTGCCCCATCATTGGCATCACTGGGAGGAATTGCGCTGTCCCATTGTTGGTGTTAGTGGATAGAATAGCGCCCCATCATTGATGTTAGTGGAAGGAATATTGGCCCACCATTGCTGTTAGTGGATGGAATAGCGCCCCACCATTGATGTTAGTGGATGGAATAGCTCCCCACCATTTATGTTAGTAGACGGAATGGCGCCCCACCATTTATGTTAGTAGACGGAATAGCGCCCCACCATTTATGTTAGTAGACGGAATAGCGCCCCACCATTGCTGTTAGTAGACGGAATAGCGCCTTACCAATGCTGTTAGTAGACGGAATAGCACCCCACCATTGATGTTAGTGGACGGAATAGCGCCCCACCATTGATGTTATTGGAAGGAATAGCGCCCCACCATTGATGTTAGTGGAAGGAATAGCACCACACCATTGATGTTAGTGGACGGGGGCCCCATGAGATGCCCCTGGTACCTTTTTCATAGGCCTTTTTGAGTTTGGGCAAGAACACAGGGGCCCCATGATCCCCTATTGCCTGGGGGCCCCATGAGTTGTCAGTCCGCCCCCGGGGGCCACCTTGTCACACGCCAGTCACCTCGCCATCAGCAAACCCAGCCTGAGAAATGATATACAGCGGCTGCTGGAAGCAGGAAGAGGCTGCAAAGAGGATGCAGAAGATCAGCAGCATTTCAACATAGGATACAACAGAACACCATGGCAATTGTTCCTCATACACAGTGTTTTAGCAAACAAACGTCACTGAGTTAAGGTTTCCAACCACAATACTATTTCCTGCTCTTCTGCCCCCTCAGGCCCCGTATCATGGCTTCCCCAGTTGTCTGGGGCACGTGGCGAGCCTCCGATGTCAATAACATTGCTATTTGTCACACAGACTGTAACAGCTGCTTCACCTCAGCGCTGGCTGGAAGGAATTAGGCCGAAATCTCTGCAGTGAATGAGTCAGCTCACAAATATTCATGAAGGAGGAAAACAAGAGGCTAATTGGTGCGCCATCCTGCCATGCCGGCCACGCTTGGTGGTGCCAATACACAGCGTGAACGCGGGGGGCTCCCCCTCTTTACTACCGCTGCACAAACGCACCCGCTTGGGCGCCGCGCTCCTTGTACATGTCGTCTCGGAGCGTCACTGGGGAAGCGGGATTCCAGCTGCACTCATAATCCAGTAATATTGTGCAATTCCTCCAGAGATCCGCCGGGATGGAGGAATTTAATCTGAGAATGCTTACAGGGCTCCTCTGTCCTGCTGTACTGAGGAATGGGACCCGGGGAGCCACAGAGTATTACATATTGCCCAATAACAGGACGTTTCCATTATACCGGCTGAAGCAGAACATTCACATCTTTCAAGTGACCCCGTCACCGCTTCCAGAATCTGAAAATGGCTAAAGAACATTAACTCTTTCATTGGCAGTTTTTTGTTTTTTTTTTGCACAGCTTTAAAAAAAATCATTTTGGGCCTTAAGATTAAAGTATTACTAAACCCAGGACCCTGCAGTCCCCACATCCGCTCTCCCCGGACCCGGCATTCCCCACATCCGCTCTCCCCGGACCCGGCATTCCCCACATCCGCTCTCCCCGGACCCGGCATTCCCCACATCCGCTCTCCCCGGACCCGGCATTCCCCACATCCGCTCTCCCCGGACCCGGCATTCCCCACATCCGCTCTCCCCGGACCCGGCATTCCCCACATCCGCTCTCCCCGGACCCGGCATTCCCCACATCCGCTCTCCCCGGACCCGGCATTCCCCACATCCGCTCTCCCCGGACCCAGCATTCCCCATATCCGCTCTCCCCAAGCCCAGCATTCCCTGTAGCAATCATTCCTGCCTCTACAACCCCGTCTGCGGTGACAGTGCTATACAGACGATTATCTCAACCATCATAGTGTTATTGCTGATATTGCCAAGTTTCCTCTTTCTCTGTACAAAAAGGAGGTGGTGGCAGCGTGAAGGGTTAATTGCGTAATTAACCTGACCCAGTAACAATCGCATTCAAGCTGCCGGTACATTGATTGGTGGTCCATGAGCTGGAAAATCGTTGTGCAGGGTGCAGCTGGGCGTAGCATTGTTACACACATGACATGACTGCCATGCGCAGCTCAGATCACATTTACAGCCAGCTCTCTGCGCGATGGCAATGTAACACTTGTTTGCATGCGCAGCTCAGATCACATTTACAGCCCGCTCTCTGTGCGATGGCAATGTGACTCATGTGCATGCGCAGCTCAGATCACATTTACAGCCCGCTCTCTGTGCAATGGCAATGTGACTCTCGTGTGCATGCGCAGCTCAGATCACATTTACAGCCCGCTCTCTGTGCAATGGCAAGGCAATGTGACTCCCGTGCGCATGCGCAGCTCAGCTCAGCTCACATTTACAGCCCGCTCTCTGTGCGATGGCAATGTGACTCCCGTGTGCATGCGCAGCTCAGCTCACATTTACAGCCCGCTCTCTGTGCGATGGCAATGTGACTCTCGTGCTCATGCGCGGGAGTGACGTCACCCTGGCCCGGTTAATCAAGCAGCTGCAGATACAATCCCTGGAAGGAAGACCAGGTGAACATGGAAGTACCTGGGAGTCGGCAACTGTGCTACACTGGAGGGCTCAATCTGTCGGTAAAGCAGGTCATACATGGGTTGAATTCCAAACGTATTTTCGATTGAAAATCGAAAACGTTCATTCTGTAATCCGATGGTGCCATCAATGATTTAGAAAATCTGTTTTTCACGAATTTTCCAACATTCCCGATAAACGAAATGGGGAAGCACCATGAAAATTGTCCGGTGTCATTGCCCCACTAACAGAGCGAAAATCAGTCGATTATTCTTAGGTCCGATTTTCGATCAAAAAAAAATCGTTCAGAAATTGACCCATGTATAGCCGGTTTAAGTCTGTCATAGTGTGCTACTATGCAGTGCACTAGTACCGTACGGCTAAAACCTGCAGGAGGATCCATTTCTTTCGTTTGCTTCACAACTTTACTACCACTTTACACCCAATCGGATTTCTTTCCTCTGTATTAGGCTTCATTCAGACACGTGCTGGACACCCATCCTGCCCACAGGCCGCATTTGTTACTGCACTTTATGGGGCACTTCACACATCATGCATTTCAGTTACTTTTTTTCTGCATCCAAAATGCACAGAAAGTTGGTGATATGGTTGTCAAGGTCATAGTTCACATCAATGCTTGCAGTTTCAGTGCGTTCCGGCTGCAGAAAAAAAAAAAAAAAAAAGTAGAACGTGTTGCATTTTTTCTGCACAGAACTGTACTGGAACGCAGTAAAATGCAACAAAAACGCACCAAAAAAATGCACAGGAATGCACGTCACTATTTAAATTGAAGAAAAAGAGGGAAAAAATGAACGGGAATGCATAAAAACCGCACTAGAACGCGTAAAAAATGCACTGGAACCAGGGGCAGACTGACCATCTGGAAACTTGGGCACTGCCCGAGGTCAGTAGGGGGCCCCATGAGATGCCCCTGGTACCTTTTTCATAGGCTTTTTTGAGTTTGGGCAAGGACACAGGGGCCCCATGATCCCCTATTGCCCGGGGGCCCCATGAGTTGTCAGTCCGCCCCTGACCGGAACGCGCCAAAAATGCGTAAAAAATGCGCATGCAAAAACGCATCTGGACAGCGTTTCTATAGCGTGAACCGGCCCTTACTGCACAGGCAGCCTATAGAGGTGAATGCAGATGCAGAGGCTGCACAATCACAGCCGCATGGCAAAATTCGACTTGTGTGCAGGAACAGGTGCACAGATCTGAACACACTGTCTGCACACAAGTCGAACTTTGCCATGCGGCTGTTTGTGCAGGCTCTGCATCCATCTCCATACCACAGATCAGGACGGATGCAGGAGCAATAAACTCTGCAGAATGCACGCAAATGGGTGTCAATGTCCTCCTGAACGAAGCCTTAAAGCGGTACTAAACCCAAAACCAAAAATGCAATGTATTGCGACCTACATTAACCCCCGGTTCACATCTATGCGGCCACGTGGGACACGTTTTGCGCGGGCACGAGATCCCATTCATTTGAATGGACTCCTGTGCCCGTGACACGCAGGGGAGAAGTCCCAGCACTTCTTCCGAAAACGCAGCCGAGGTTCCCAGTACAGTTGCGTTTTCCAGTGCGGGCGGCATGCCATTAGAACTAATAGCTCCTGCCCGTGGGTCCGCATTCCTCTGTGCGGGTGGTGCGGCTGCACGGATTTTCATGCGGAACCGCAGCGGCACCACCCGCATAGATGTGAACCAAGCCTAAAAGGTACATTGCATTAAATGCTAAAAATTAAACGACAATAGATGTTGGTGGTTTTTTCCCCTCTGTTTGCACCTGGTGATCTGGCTAGTAACACATCTCTTGTATTAGAGCGCCCCCCACACTGGATGAAGGAGCACAGGGGGCACCTCTGGACAGCAGCATTGTCAATCTGGGGGGGGAGTGTAAGATGGACTAAGAGATTTAGATTGAAGCCGAACTCCAGCTCACACTTTATAATCATTTACAGCAGTTTTTTTTTATTCTCTTAGATTGTAAGCTCCCAGGATCAGGCCCTCCTAATCCTCTTGTATTGAACTGTATTGTTGCTGTATTGTCCCCCCATTATATTGTAAAGCGCTGAGCAAACTGTTGGCACTATATAAATCCTGAATAATAATAATATATAAATCCTGTATAATAATATATAAAATCCTGTATAATAATAATAATAATAATAATAATAATATATAAATCCTGTATAATAATATATATAAATCCTGTATAATAATAATAATATATAAATCCTGTATAATATATATAAATCCTGTATAATATATATAAATCCTGTATAATAATAATATATAAATCCTGTATAATAATAATAATATATAAATCCTGTATAATAATAATAATATATAAATCCTGTATAATAATAATAATATATAAATCCTGTATAATAATAATATATAAATCCTGTATAATAATAATAATAATAATAAATAATAAATCCTGTATAATAATAAATCCTGTATAATAATAATAATAATAATAATAATAATAATAATAAATCCTGTATAATAATAATTCCATTTTGGGATAGAGGTTTTACATCCATAAAATAAGCTGATCATTGTAAGCACCCTTGTCAGTGGTAAATAGCTTGTCTCATCCTTCTAACGGCTACATCTGCAGAACATCTACAGAACATCTAGAGTGCATGATCCCTATGGCAGATGATAGCCCTGGAGGTTGAATCTATACACACAAGTCCATGACTGTACAATTCCTTCTGTACATCTAGCAAGGAAAGTGCATGTATGGGGTGGGGCAGCACAGCGGCTGAATGGTCAGCACTTCTGCCTGGCAGTACTAGGGTCGTTGGTTCGAATCCCAACCACGGCACCGCCTGCCTGGAGTTTGCATGTTCTCCCTGTGCCTGTGTGGGTTTCCTTCGGGGAATCCGGTTTCCTTCCACAATCCAAAGACATGCTGGTAGGTGAATGGGTTCCTGTCTATATTGGCCCTAGCATGTAGGAATGTGAGTTAGGGACCTTAGATTGTACACCCCTTGAGGGTTAGGGACTGATGTGAATGTACAATATATATGTAAAGTGCTGTGTAAATTGATGGTGCTATATAAGTACCTGAAATAAATGGGGTGATCCCCAGCAAGCGCACATTACAATAATCCCCTCGATTTGGCCCTGCTGGCCAGCACACGGAAAACAGAAACCCAACATGTCAGCACATATATGTGGAGGCCACCGATCACACACAGAGATCTCCTGGACATCTATGAAATGAAGACATGTTGCCAGCTACCACAATAGAGAGATAAGAGCAGAGGGAATACAATCCATCACCAATAAAGAGAGATAATTGCTCACCGTTGCCTTCCCTTGGGGCCTCGGAGTCTGTGAATAAAGTGCTCATGATTTTATCAAAGTTACAGCTGGGCTCCGCGTTCTCCGGGTCTTCCACAAAGTGCTTGAGCATCTCCCGCAGGACGTCGTCCAGAGAGGTCGCCGTCTCATCCAAGATAATGCTGGCTTTGGCAAGGAATCCATCCAGATCCCGGTGGGCTCTCACCTCCTCCTCAAAGTTCTTTAATTTTAGATACTAAAGAGAGGAAAACAAGATCAGTGATAGTCTCTGGAATAAACGCATGATAGTTTAGTAGAACTTGTAGCCAGACCGTAAATTATATATTATGGGCAGCACAGCGGCTAAATGGTTAGCACTTCCTCCTGGTAGTACTAGGGTTGTTGGTTCAAATCCCAACCACGGCACCACCTGCATGGAGTTTGCATGTTCTCCCTGTGCCTGCGTGGGTTTCCTTCCCACACTCCAAAGACATGCTGGTAGGTTAATTGGCTCCTGTCTAAATTGTCCCTAGTATGTATGAATGTGAGTTAGGGACCTTAGATTGTACGTCTCTTGAGGGTTAGGGGCTGGTGTGTGTGTGTGTGTGTGTGTGTGTGTGTGTGTGTGTGTGTGTGTGTTAAATTATACTACTACACATTGAGCCCGGGTTCACATTGATGCAGTGCGGTCAATCGCATGTGATTCGCACAGGAACCGCACCGAATTCCTGTGCAAATTCCATGCGATTTGTGTGCGGTGCGATTGGATCTATACATTTTGTACGGCTCAAATCGCACCGCACCAAAAAGGTGCAGGACCCTTTTTTCGTCCGCACGAGAATCGAATCGCAATCAAAACTGTTAACAAGCACAGTATTTATTATTCTACAAAAAGATAAAATATTCCTATATGGCAGGAATATATGGACATAAAAACAACACTGATACAACAAAGATGTCATTATCTAATGTTCATGCGTCAACGCGTTTCATGGAAACCCCACTTCTTCAGGTCTGGGACACAGTAAGCCCGGGTTCACGTGTGCGGTGCTGTATATCATGTGATTCGCACAAGAACCGGACCGCATTCCTCTGCAAATCACAAGCGATTTGTGTGCGGTGCGATTTGCAGCCATTCATTTTGTATGGTTCTAATTGCACCGCACCCGCACCAAAAAACATGCAGGACCCTTTTTTGGTCCGCACTAGAATCGAATCACATGGGTAGTCACACCCATGCGATCAGATTCTGCACATCGCAGCGTTTTGCAGATCGATTTCAGGGTGGTGTTAACTTAACATACACATCTGCAGCGGTTCGCATGAACGGGGTGCAATTCTGATGCGGTGCGGAATTCGCACAGAAAACGCTGCAAATTCCGAACCGCATCAGTGTGAACTAGGGCTAAGGGCCAGTTAACACCACATGTTTCAGTTGCTTTTTTTCTGCATCCAAAAACGCACAGAAAGTAGGCTACATGGTTGTCAATATCATAGTTCACATCAGCGCTTGTAGCTCCAGTGCGTTCCAGATGCAGACAAAAAAAAAAAAAAGCAGAACATGCTGCATTTTTCCTACACAGAAGTGTACTGGAACGTGGTAAAATGCATCCAAAACACACCAAAACACAGCAAAAAAAACTAACTGGAACGCACTCGTCCCTATTTAAATTGAAGAGAAGGAGAGGGGAAAAAAACGCATCAAAAAACGCACCAAAAACGAGCATGCAGAAACATATCCGGAACACATCTGGACTACGTATCTATAGTGTGAACCAGCCCTGAAAGTTATTACTATATTGAATATAAAATTAGTCAAACCATATAAAAATATACACACACACATACATATTCAATGAAGGAAATAAGTATTTGATTCCCTGATGATGTTGAATGTTTGCCCACTCACAAAGAAATGATCAGTCTAAAAATCGAATGTTCGGTGTATTGTAACACAGAGACAGAATAGCAACAAAATATTCAGCAGAAATGCATGTCTAACAAATGATGACTGATCTGCATGTTCATGAGGGAAATAAGGATTTGATCCCCTTCACAAAACATGACTTAGTACTTGGTGGCAAATCCCTTGTTGGCAATCGCAGAGGTCAGATGTTTCCTGTAGTTGGCCACCAGGTTTGCACACATCTCAGGAGGGATTTTGGCCCACTCCTCTTGGCAGATCCTCTCCAAGTCATTAAGGTTTGGTGGCTGACGTTTGGCAACTCGATCTTTCAGCTCCTCCACAGATTTTCAATCGGATTAAGGTCTGGAGACTGGCTAGGCCACTCCAGGACCTTAATGTACTTCTTCTTGAGCCACTCCTTTGTTGCCTTGGCAGTGTGTTTTGGGTCATTGTCCTGCTGGAACACCCGTCCACGACCCATTTTCAATGCCCTGACTGAGGGAAGAAGGTTCTCACCCAAGATTTGACGGTACAATGCCCCGTCCATCATCCCTTTGATGCGGTGCAGTTGTCCTGTCCCCTTAGCAGAAAAACACCCCCAAAGCAGAATGTTTCCACCACCATGTTTGACAGTTGGGATGTTGTTCTTGGGGTCATAGGCAGCATTCCTCCTCCTCCAAACACGGCGAGTTGAGTTGAAGCCAAAGAGCTCAGTTTTGGTCTCATCTGACCACAACACTTCCAACCAGTCCTCCTCTGTATCATTCAGATGTTCAGTGGCAAACGTCAGACGGTCCTGGACATGTGCTTTCTTGAGCAGAGGGACCTTGCGGGCACTGCAGGATTTCAATCCTTGTCGGTGTAGTGTGTTACCAATTGGTTTCTTGGTGACTGTGGTCCCAGCTGCCTGGAGATCATTGACAAGATCCTCACGTGTAGTTCTGGGATGATTCCTCACTGTTCTCATGATCATTACCACTCCACGAGGTGAGATCTTGTATGGTGCACCAGACCTAGGGAGACCGACAGTTGTTTTGTGTTTCTTCCATTTGTGAATGATTGCACCAACTGTTGTCACCTTCTCACCAAGCTGCTTGGCCATAGTTTGGTAGCCCAGTCCAGCCTTGTGTAGGTCTACAATCTGGTCCCTGACATCCTTGGAGAGCTCTTTGGTCTTTGCCATGGTGGAGAGTTTGGAATCTGATTGTTTGATTGCTCCTGTGGACAGGTGTCTTTTATACAGGTAACACAATGAGATTAGCAGCACTCCCTTTAAGAGACTGCTTCTAATCTCAGCTTGTTACCTGTATGATAGACACCTGGTAGCCAGAAATCCTGCTGAATGATTGGGGATCAAATACTTATTTCCCTCATGAACATGCAGATCAGTCATCATTTGTTAGACATGCATTTCTTTTGAATGTTTTGTTGCTATTCTGTCTCTGTGTTACTATACACCTACCAATCGATTTTTAGACTGATCATTTCTTTGTGAGGGGCAAACATTCAAAATCAGCAGGGAATCAAATACTTATTTCCTTCACTGTATATACATACACACACATACACACACACATATATATATTTGTGTGTGTGTATTCCCCCCCCCCCATAATAAAAACCGTGCAGAACTACAAATATGTGAGACGCAGGGTCGAATTCTGAAAAAATTTTCCTTTCAAAAATCTTTCGAAGAATTTTCTTTTGGATTTCACACCATTAGTGGGCCATCGCAACGGACGATTTTTGAGCGACCATGGAATATGAGTGATCGGGCATGTTGGAAATATTTTGAAAAATTAAATTTCTAATCAATGATGGGAGAAACGTGCAAGAAATATAATCGTAAAAGAAACAAGCAGGAGCTGTGACCTGGAAAGAAAAGAAAATTCTTGGCCACAAAAATTCTTTTCTGCAGCAATATGTGATCTTGAAGGCTTGGTTAGTTGAATTTTGAAAATCAATGGTGGCGCCATCGGATTACAAAACGCACGAAATGTCCTAGTTTCTAAAGAAAATTTGTTTGGAATTCGACCCATGTATGGCCTCTATTTCTCTCCAAGTGTCTGAAATAGGTAATTATGTACTGTTGTCAGTGCATTCTGGGCATTTTAGGACAAAAGGCTTCTAAACGCGCATGAACGTGGTATGCAAACTGACGTTTTTTAACCTACGTTTTCCAGCAGTCGGGTTCCATCGTTCAGAAGAGTTTCCAAACGCCCCGTGTACATGAGCCCCTATGAGAATGCATCTCCATGCTTGGTAAGGAGGAAAGTGGGGAATTTCGGAACAGCAGCGCATTTTTTACCTTACGTATTTATTCAGGGGTCATGTATCTGAGGTAAGTGGTCATTGTTCACTGGTGGTGGAGGCACAGCGTGCGCTTGAGTTTTGTTGATTTTCACAAGATATCACATTGGAATACTTTAGGATCTTTTTATTGGATTGCACCATCTACTTGGACTTGAAAAAAGGGAATGCTGCTGTACTTAGGATTTAAAAAAAAAAAAACAAACAAAAAAAACGAAGCAAATAACTATATAGCAGCAGTCCTAATTGTGAACTCGTGTACACAAAATCTTATATAATTGTCACATAGGCCGCGCTTAGGTCGTGCAACCAATCGCCCGCCATTTTAGCCTGAGCGTGCTCCCTGGGAGCAAACAGAGAAGTTATTACGAGCCCTTGGACAAATAAATGAGCAGCTAGCATCAAGGTACAGCCTCAAAACCTTCTGAATGACATCATATAAAAAATGCTGCGCTAAATATAGGGTATTTGAACTGATAAACATACATGTAAGGTGTGTTGGTCAATATTAACCACATGCTGCCCAGCCACTGTAGAAATACGGTGGCAGGGCGGCACGGCGGGGCAAAAGCACGTTTTAAAACGTGTTTTTAAAAAACAGGTAGGGGGCACGCGCAAGGCGCGCCGCCGCCCTACCTGTCCCGCCGATCACAGCCGCCGGATGTCAGTCGCCGGCCGTTGCCGGCTATGTCCCGGCGATCAGCGGCAATCGCTGACAGAGAGCACAGCTGCAGTAGCTCTGCTTTCTGTCAGTTCCCTGACAGCTCCAGGACACACTGATCGGGACAGAAGAGTTTCTCTCTCCCGATCAGCGGTGTTCCCTGCAGTACACACCCCCGCCCCCTAGTAAAACACTCCCCTCACACAGTTAACCCTTTCCCTGAATAACTTAACCCCTTCCTCCCCAGTGCCATTAGTACAGTGTCAGTGTATTTTTGTTTGCACTGATCACTGTATTGGTGTCACTGGAGATGTCAGTGACCCCAAGTCAGTACCCCCCAATGTCAGAACGTCCGCCGCAGTCCCGCCATAAGTCGCTG